GGGCTGTCAGAAGAGGGGGAGGAAAAGAGAGGCTCCGTTTATTATTCTTATATTATTATATAGAGTCGTTATCAATTTGTTTTAAAGCTCAATAAATGACAAAGAAGACCTCTGACCGGCACTTTTCTAATTTAATTTTGTGAAAAAAAATGTTAACTGAAACTCTGCCGCACGGTTCCCTCGTCCCTTGGAAGAGGCGGAGAGGTGGGTGTTTTTCATCTGCTGGTGGACTACCGGAGAGAATTATAGCAGGAGCAAACGCCGTCCACCGCGGAGAATAAATAGAAGGGCAACCATGGCAACCATGCTCCGGGTTCTTCTTCGCTGCTTTTGGTGCATTTTGTGGCGGCAGCAGCGCCACTTACAGACCCCGGCATATGTACTACAGCGTTTCCAGCGGGTCGAGCGGTCTCGTGTGAACGGACACGTTAATTGAGCCGAATGCGTGTGAACGGAATACTTTTTTGAAAACTAATACGGTGCTCAAACGTACCTGTTTCATCCTCGTGTAAATGGGGCCGAAGTGTGTTCAAGCTTCGCCATATTTCTTTAACATTTGTTGCCTTGGCTCTTTTTTAAGACGGACACTACTAACTTTTTATATCCACAAGCAGAGTTCAGATGGTCACAATGTGCAGCGTAAATGCAGATGTGATTTTGCTATTTAGAATTGAGAGAACATGTTTATCTTGGCATGACGGATGACATTGCTGTTGAATATCACTTAAACTAATACCACTCATTTTGTATAGTTTTGGATATAGGTGGAGCATGCCAAGGGTTATGTTTCTATTTAAGTTTTATGTACAGGTGATAGTGCCGTAACGCAGCTTTCAGTGTGCATGGCCATTTGTATTACTATGTGACGCTAGTAAGATGCTGGAAGTCTGCAAGTTTGAATAGGAACAAGTTTTTGACCATGTTGTCAGTTGGTAGTGGGCCATTCATAATGCAATATGGATAGAAACAAACTCCCGTGAGCACATCAGGTCTTCCAAAAGGTTTTTTTGTATTATGTATTTATTTCAACAAGGACCATGCATACAAATACATTCATCTCAGAAAAGAGAGGAGATGAATTATACCAGATTTGAGCTAATGGCTAATTTCCATCTGCAGTCCTTTGCATAAAAACATTGCATAATCTCTATCACACAAACAATTATAAAATATGATTTAAGTACAGGTCAATAAAATTATACATATTACAGTTAAAATATAATTACAATACAGTTAACATTGAAAAACTCAGATTACAGTGTAATTAATGTTGGCATGACTGGTTGCTTAATATCCATTGTTTTGCACCATAAGAGAAAGAGTTGAAGTCAGTACAGGTTTTAAATTCAACTGGAAGAATATGCCAGTGTTTTTTGCCCGTAAATGAAAATGCAGATTGTTTCACATTTTCTGAATTAGGATTTCCATGCAGACTTCGAGGCCTAGGAACTTTGTGGATTATATAAACAGTCGGTACAACCCGGTGCACGAGTCTTTCTTTCCTAATCTGGTAAACTGACGTGCTGAAGCATGGACTTGTAGACTCGGGGTAATCAGGGCTGTGTTCCCTAGACGCTGTGAGGAATTATCAGCTGTGAAGCCTCATTGCACACATCGCTGCACATTGTCTATATTCACTTAATTCAACACTCCCTCTTCTTTGGGCCCTCGCCACGTTGATGTGGCAACAAATCAGTCCACACTCAGCCATTTGTCCCCGAGGTGCTCTTACAAAGGCTTTCCATTATCCACATGGCAGTCAGATAAATTAAGATAGCTGTACTCCGTTCCTTTGCTGCTGCTCACTGGTGGGTTTCATTATTTCCTTCTCACCGCTGCTTCAAAGGTCACTCTCTCTCCAGACTGCAGCGGAGGAATTCAGCACTGCTAAAGTTCACCGTCTAAAGCGAATAATAGCACAAAGGAAAAACATGGGGGGTTTTCCCTGAACAGATCTGCCATTACAACGGGTGTCAACTTTGATTCTGACACAGAACACCGAATCGTGTCTCTTGTTGAACACTTTAAAGTCACTTTTAAATATTTATCAGATGAAATTTATAGGTTGCATTTTGAATTTCAATTTACAATACATTTGATCTTTCTTCCAAAACAGTGAACAACAACAGGAGCCACATGGCAAGAGATTTTTTTTAAATGGCAGGTTTATAAGGTGACTCTAAAACACCTCCATATGTATAGTTGACTCAAGAGGCGCTTTCACACCAAGTACTTTTCCCAGGAATAGTTCCCGGAACTTATTTCCCCGGAAGTCTTAATTCCTGAACAATCTAGTAGATTGCGTTCACACCGGAATAAGTCCCCGAGGGAGGATTACGCAAATGAAGCCGCTGACGGCACTTCTTCTTCTTCTTCTTCTTCTTCTTCTGCTTTGGGTTTACTGGCAGGCTGCAAACAACTTCACAGCGTATACTGCCACCCGAAGTCCCGGGTAAAACCTCGTCACTCCACCGCTCCCACGTTTCATTTTGTGTTGCCATAAGTTAGTCTCTCTCCGTTTGTGCGCTATGCTAATGCTAATGCTAATGCGAGCAAATACAATGGCGGCTTCACAAAACCTTTCGGAGTTTTACGGGCCGTGGTTTGCAATTCGCCCAGCCAATCAGAAATTGGAACCTTTTCCTCCCCAGGAAAGTCCCACCTCTCTAGCAGGGACTGAAAGGGGGTGAAAAGGTTCGCATGAACTAAGTTCTAGTTCCAGATCTTTTTGGTGTGAACGCAAAATCCCAGGAACTATCGGAACTATTCCTGGGAAAAGTACTCCGGTGTGAAAGCGCCTAAGGCCACGATCACATGCTATGGTGCAAAACGCCTTAATAACAAGACGATGGCACTTGGCATTACTAAAGTACAACAAATGTTTTGATCTATTTAAAAACATTAATGGACAATTTAAAGAACACTTTAGCAACAGATGCTTAAAAACAGAGTGAAAAGGCTATTGTTTATTCTCACACAGACATTAAGTGAATATTTATTTGCCGAGTTGATTAGATTTTTGCCTAAACCTCACTTCAGATAAGCTTCTGTTTCCTCTTTAGCTGTGTGTGTGTGTGTGTGTGTGTGTGTGTGTGTGTGTGTGTGTGTGTGTGTGTGTGTGTGTGTGTGTGTGTGTGTGTGTGTGTGTGTGTGTGTGTGTGTGTGTGTGTGTGTGTGTGTGTGTGTGTGTGTGTGTGTGTGTGTGTGTGTGTGTGTGTGTGTGTGTGTGTGTGTGTGTGTGTGTGTGTGTGTCTCCAGTGAATAGGCTTCAGACTTGTCACATATTTGCTTCTTATTTGTTTGGTGGGGGGGGGGCTTCAGTCTGAGGTAACGCGGGGCACTTTTAATAGACTGCGGAGAGCGAACGGCTCAATCAGTCACAGAGGAGGCTTGTTGGGATTGACGTGCTTTTCTGTGAATATTAACACCTTCCAAAAATGTATTTTTATCACACCAAATATGGACGGCATCAATATGGAAAATCATGCTGTATTAGACTCCAGACTGTTGATAGCAGCTTCCTGAGGGCTGCACAGCTTCCTGAGGGCTGCACAAGTGATCAACATCGCAATATGGACTAGTGACTAAGGCAATGTCAGTCAAAATAATAATAAAGCTTTATTGATATAGCACTTTTCATACAACACATGCAGCTCAAAGTGCTTTACAAACTGACACATCACAAGTTAAAAATACACAACAAGAAATTCCCCTCAGATGATTTAAGAACTTTGCAGACCTGTACATGCAGCAAAATATAACATGTTATCAGGTTAATAGACACAAGGAGGTAAAAGGTATGATAATACAAATAAAATAATGATTTCTCTCCCAAATAAACCCAATTTAGTTATTTGCTCTCAAATCGTGCAGCCCTTATTTTTCAGGGCTCCATCAATACATCGTAACTCAAGGCTACGGCCGACATGTGATGGATGTCTTTTGAATATTTATGCAAACGTGTCGTGTTAATGGAAACTGCCACAAACTTTTCTTGCCAATCGTGTGTGTGTGTGTGTGAGAGAATGTGAATGTGTGAATGCCCCTGCTCGTGTCCTTCACACAGTGTGTCAGTGGACTCTGAGCAGCAGGACCTCAGCCCTAACAGATGGTGCTTTCAGGTGCAGCAGCTGGACGTCCGTAAAGAGGCAGCCGTTAAAAGTCTGTCTCCGTCTGAGCGTCACCTGCCTCCAACGTCGCTGGTGTTTCAGTGTGTGGGATGGTGACTGATGCACCATTATGCCTATATTATGAAACAATTTACATAATGCAGTCAGTTAATTGTTGAAGGAAGTCTGTAATTGCTCGACTTAAGTTCAATCGGTTTACGAATCCATTTGTATTTATATGGCCTAATATCATATAGGGTGCGCCAAAAAAATCATCCGTAATCACACATAAGAATCGCGATTCTACCGATTCAGAAATTCCAAGAATTGATTCACATTTTTCAGTCTTACCGTAACGCTGTTTTCCATTTTTTTTTTTTTCTATGGCGTGAGCTCCGTAATGTCCCGCTAACATGGCACATAGACTTCATGCAGCATCCAGGGAAACACACCAGGAAATCCTCTTCACTCCTGAGCTATTTTGAATCGAGAATCGTTTTGGATCGCGAATCAATTGTGAATCAAATCGTGACCCCCAAGAAACCGAATCGTGAGATTTCCTGAATCGTGCACCCCCTAATATCATAAACTACACTTTGTCTCAAGGGGCTTTACGGTGTGTACAGCAAACTAAATCTCCTCAAATATTAAAGTAAAAACTCCCAAAGATACCCACAAACTTCTGTGTGCATAGATTTAGAAAAAAGGGGAGGGGGAGAGAAACTCCCTCTGGAGGCTTTGCAGACCATTGACAATCACAAAACCCTATACAACACACATCAGTGCCTCTTTAATGAATACAGCATATCCCTCCATTCTGTTGTAACACATTAACTCTTGTACTGTTTGGACCCTCACCATGTCTCTCTCTCTCTCTCCCCTCCCCCACAGCGGAGCCCCTCCCCCTCATGGACCTGTGCAGACGAGTAGCTCGAGTGGCTCTGGGCAGAGAGCGCATCCATCACATTGACACCCTCCCTCTGCCGCAGACGCTCAAGAACTACCTCCAGTACCAGTGACACACACACACACACACACACACACACACACACACACACACACACACACACACACACACACACACACACACACACACACACACACACACACACACACACACACACACACACACACACACACACACACACACACACACACACACCACACACACACACACACACACACACACACACACACACACACACACACACACACACACACACACACACACACACACACACACACACACACACACACACACAGAGGAGGAGGAGACTGAGGCCCATTTGTTCTGATGGTAACAGCCTCCAGACTGAACTTAATCACAACCATCAGACATCTGCTGAGGATGAGGACGATGACTACGAACAGGAAGTGAAAGGCGGCGCTGAACGGGGATTTGTTTACAACAGTTTGGTTTCTTTTTTTTTTTCAGTTTTAAATGTTTTTAGCTTCTTTTTTTTTACCTCCTGGACATATGACCGCAGGAGCTGGTGAATGAAATGAAGGAGAGTGAGAAATGAAAACAGGATCCAGTCTCCGGATGGCCTTACATGCCGTGGTGGTGGGTGACAGTCCCCCGCCCCCCCCCGACATCTGTCCTGCACAGACTCTGTTGAAGCCTTCTCGTAAACATGTTGGTATTTATATTTATGTTCCCAACAACACAGCAGGCTCTGTGGAGATGCAACAATCCCTCCAAGCCAGAGAGGGAGGGAGGGAGGGGGAAAGCAAGCAGGAGAGAGGGAGCATCCATCCACACACACACACACACACACACACACACACACACACACACACACACACCTATTTCAGTGCACCACACATGGATTACATACAGTGTGTGTACACAGAAACAAAGCTACAGTGTTTGTAGTAAGAAGACAACTCTCTGAGATCAGGATGTTCCCACCTACAGGTTGGAGAACAACTCCAGTCTGGATTGAACGCTCGAGTCCTCTCTCTCTCTCTGACTCTCTCTCTCTCTGACTCTCTCTCTCTCTCTCTCTCTCTCTCTCTCTCTCTCTCTCTCTCTCTCTGACTCTCTCTCTCTCTCTCTCTCTCTCTCTGTGTCTTCATCCCTCGCTGAAGTTTGATTTAAGCCTCCTCTGTGTTCGATGAACTCAAAGGACCGCGGGCGCTGTTTCTCGGCGCTCCCGTTACGCTGATAGAGATTTATCTGAAGGTGAAGCTGTGTCTTTGAACGCTAACGTGCCTGCTCCGAGACGTATACAAAAAATAAAAAAAGCACATGTCAACACTTCTGTCATATTTTAAATGCTGCTTTTTCATCTTTTTTTTTTTTACCCGCATGTGGGTTTTTTAGTCCTGATTTACTTCAGAAAAATGATGGTCTTATGATGAAATTATTTTAAATTTGTTCTTCTTCTCCCATTCCATGGATGATGAGATGTGTCTGCCGGACACTCGCAGGTATATGTAGACAAATGTGCCGCCATGGGAATCTTTTAAATGTGAATACGAATAAACTCTGCTAAAATCGCACTGCCTCGCTTCCTGTGCTCTTTGACTGAAACCTTAAGGCCTTGACACACCAAGCCGATTTTGGCCGTCGATAGATGTCTGGCTGTCGATAGATGTCTGGCCGTCGATAGATGTCTGGCCGTCGATGAGCGTCCTGTTGCCCTACTCGGATTGGTGTGTCCCGCACCGTTGTGTGTGTGCCGACACCTGCCGACACCATCTTTTGCCGACAGCCTCCGCTCCCAATTGAACATGTTGAATCGGGAGCGGAGGCTGTCGGCAAAATAAATCACTCTGATTGGCTCTCCAGCTTAGCGAATGAGTGCATGAGAAGCGAAACGGAAGTGAGACACCAGTCCAAGTGCTGATACCGCCAGTACCGCACTAAACATGTTTTCCATCATAAGTCGTTATGTGAAACAGTCTGTGATGGACGAGAGTGAAAATGGAACGCACGCTATTTGTTGTTTGTATATCACGCAGTCTGTCTTCCGGTTGCCTCTTTTGAATGACGAATACGCACTACTGCCGCCTGCTGGTAAGGAGAGTTATTGCCACTCATGCATGCGCAGTTTGTACGTGCTACTTGACCGTCGGCTGAAGTCTTTGCGGTGTGTTCCAGTGCGACTTCTTGGCCAAGACGCAGGAGACGTGAGGCGACACAACAGTCGGGTCCGTCGGGACGTGTTCTTTGGTGTCAGTTTGGTGTGTCCGGACCTTTTAGATGTTGATATAAAGTTGTGCCACCTTAAATGACCACTCATTAAACCCCTCCCCTGAGAGGCGATTAGCCCAAAATAAGCCTTAAAGCCAATGATTTCTCCCTGTGATGAAGCAGTGTGTACACAGCAAGAGATATTCAAACCCAAAAACACATTTTAGTTGGAACATTAAATCTGCCATTGTTATTATTAAAAAACGATGTGTGGAGCGACAACAGGGAGATTGACAGAAGTAGCAGCAGTCACTACGGGGGGCTCAGTCAGCTGTCATTTGTATCTCCTAATTTAGTGATTCAAACATTTCATTTTGGTGTTTTTGTAAGTGTGACGGAACAAAGGGGAAACTAATAGGACAGACAAAGCTGTGAGCTATTATGCTCATTTTCAGGTTTCATATTTGTATTCTGTGACTTTTCTGCCCAGGGTAATGTGCAGCAAGGCTGGTATAATGACCCAGACGTGAAGCTTCACAAAGGTTTTCTGTAACTGTCCATGTCATTTTACATTTTATTTCCCATGAACCAGTCTTTAAACTCTGCCAGAGCCCATACGATACTCCGTGTTCCTGTTAGTTGACTTCCTGTCTGTCTTCTATATATTTGTCTGATGTCCAGAGCTCTTACGTTTTAACCTCTTTCCTTCTGTTGTTCTTTTTATCTGTTCTGTACTGAGGACAGTTTAGCAATCATGATGCCAAAGTTTCCTGCTCACCACAAATATAAAAAATAATACTGAATATGTACATCACTTTGCTTTCTGACGGATGAAATCGAATGTGTGTTGTCCTCAGCTGACTCTAAATGTACACAACTTCTTTACTGCTGGTTGATATTATTGCACACATTGATCCTCCTTAGCAACAGTCATTTAACAACCTCTGAAATCTACAATTTGACCAATCAGAATCGAGTATTCACATAGCCGTGTAATAACTGGAGATAATACAACTGGTTGATAAAAAAGAACAATAGCTACATAAATAGATAATAAAAAAAGAATAGTAATACATAAAAACACCCTCTATATATATCTATATTCCTTTATTTTTTTATTTTTTTCCTGTCATTGAATAAAGTTGTTTTTTTTATATTGCCATGAGCCAGACCCAGACCTATAGTCGGTGCATTATGGGTGGGTTTTCTTTTCAGTTGTTCTGTTTGTCTAATGGATGTGACTCAACGCTGATGATGTCAATAACACAAACCCCATCAGAGCTTTTATACAAGTGTTTTTTCTCCAAAGGTTGAATGTGAGAGGGTGTTTCTCAATGTCGAGTACGCTTGCTTGGTAGCACATGTCTTCCGAGTCACTTGCTTCAGAAGAGAGGCAAGAATACTTCCTGGCATTCGGAAAACGAAGAGTGGAACAGGCGAGCAAGTGTGCAGGTGTGCGTCATATGAGAGGCCCCGCCTTACATCTTCCACCACAGATTTGGGGAAATTGGTCCGTTCGCAAAGCATTGTGGGGATTTTAAGACCGCAGAGTCTACACATGTGCAGCCTCGAAATTTCTCGCTACGAAGTACGCCGGGCTCGGTAGAATTCCAAGTATGCTGGACATTGGAACAGTCTTTCGGCGGCACTCGATGACGTATGCTTGAAATAGTGGCTCTGGAGCAGCCTTCCTCGACATTGAGAAACGGCCACAGAAAACGTATCGCTGCTGTCAGAGCCCAGATCCTGGTTCTGGTGTTGCATGGAGATGTTCTGGTTCTAAACTGAACCCCCCCCCCCCTCTCAGAAAAGGGTGTTGATCACAGAACAAAGCTTGCATGTGATCAAAGTCTATCTGCGTGCTGCACCAACAGAAAACCCATTAGAGCTGAGCAGCCTGATAACATCATGATAGTCAAATCATCTCTGATCTCCCCTTGTGGAGGGAGAGCCCCAGCACTGACGCAGGACAATTATTGGATTCAATGCTTAAATAATGACAACGAAATGGTGTCTATTGTACAAGAGGGACTGAAATAACCATCATGTTAGACGCATTCAATCAACGTTTTATTTATTTAGCCCAATACCACACATTACACCTTTGTCTCAGCCAGTACAGCATACCCCACCCTCTGTCCTTAGACCCTTGCATCGTACAAAATTGCAAATAAACCCAACAATGATTTGGAGTAAATTTGAAAGAAACCTCAGGGAACCCTCACAGAGGAGGATCACTCTCCCAAGACGGACAGACGTGGAAAAGATGTTGTGTGTGTGTGGGGATTAAAAAACAAAGCGACCGACAAGTGAGACACAGAAAATCAAGTCCCCTGACAGTCTCACCGTATAGCAGCATAACTAAAGGCTGATTCAGGGTAAGCCTGAGCTATACTCTTTGTCAAAAAATAAAGTCTAAAAGAAGCCATATTATGCTCAGGTTCATATCAGTATGTAGTGTCTCTACTTTAAAGAGTCCTCTCCTGCTGATGTTCAGGTGTATATCAGTATGTAGTGTCTCTACTTTAAAGAGTCCTCTCCTGGTGATGTTCAGGTGTATATCAGTATGTAGTGTCTCTACTTTAAAGAGTCCTCTCCTGGTGATGTTCAGGTGTATATCAGTATGTAGTGTCTCTACTTTAAAGAGTCCTCTCCTGCTGATGTTCAGGTGTATATCAGTATGTAGTGTCTCTACTTTAAAGAGTCCTCTCCTGCTGATGTTCAGGTGTATATCAGTATGTAGTGTCTCTACTTTAAAGAGTCCTCTCCTGCTGATGTTCAGGTGTATATCAGTATGTAGTGTCTCTACTTTAAAGAGTCCTCTCCTGCTGATGTTCAGGTGTATATCAGTCTGTAGTGTCTCTAATGTGACATGTCTCCATGCTTTAATGTTCAAAAAGCTCTTTATTTTTCTCATACTGCCTGTGCTGCAGCACCTCTTTTCACCCTCTGTCT